CTGTGGGACTGGCTTTGTAGCACTGGCTCTGTGGGACTAACTCTGTGGGACTGGCTCTGTAGGATTGGCTCTATGAAGTGCCTCTGTGGGACTATCTTTGTGGGACTGGCTCTGTGGGACTGGCTCTGTGGGGCTGGCTCTGTGGGGCTCGCTGTCTGGGGCTCGCTGTCTGGGGCTGCTCTGTGGGTCTGGCACTGTGGGACTGGCTCTGTGAGACTGGCTCTGTGAGGCTGGCTCTGTGGGATTGGCTCTGTGGGACTGGCTGTGTGGGGCTGGCTCTGTGGAACTGGCTCTGTGGAGCTGGCTCTTAGGGCTGGGTGTGTGGGGCTGACTCTGTGGGTCTGGCACCTTGGGACTGGCTCTGTAGGGAATGGCTCTGTGGGACTGGTTCTGTAGAATTGTCTTTGTGGGGCTGGCTCTGTGAGACTGACTGTAGGACTGGTTCTGTGGGGCTGGCTCTGTGGGACTGGTTCTGTGGGGCTGACTCTGTGGGACTGGCTCTATGTGAGTGACCGTGGGACTGGTTCAGTGGGGCTGGTTCTGTGGTACTGGCTCTGGGGGAATAACTCTGTAGTACTGGCTCTGTGGGGCTGGCACTTACGGCTGACTGCCTGGGGCTGGCTCTGTGGTACCGGCTCTGTTAAGTGGCTATGTGGGACTAACTCTGTAGGACTGGCTCTGTGGGACTAACTCTGTAGGACTGGCTTTGTGGGACTAACTCTGTGGGACTGGCTCTGTGAACTGGCTATGTGGGACTAACTCTCGTGGACTGGCCCTGTGGGGCTGAAACTTTGGGCTGGATATCTGGGGCTGGCTCTGTAAGTCTGGCACTGTGGGACTGTCTCTGTGGGGCTGGCTCTGTGGGACTGGCTGTGTGGGGCTGGCTCTGTGGAACTGGCTCTGTGGGGCTGGCACCTTGGGACTGGCTCTGTAGGGAATGGCTCTGTGAGAGTGACTCTGTAGGACTGGTTCCGTAGAACTGTCTTTGTGGGGCTGGCTCTGTGAGACTGTCTCTGTGGGGCTGGCTCTGTGAGACTGACTCTAGGACTGGTTCTGTGGGGCTGGCTCTGTGTGACTGGTTCTGTGGGGCTGACTCTGTGGGACTGGCTCTATGAGAGTGACTGTGGGACTGGTTCTGTGGGGCTGGTTCTGTGGGACTGACTCTGTGGTACTGGCTCTGCGGGACTGGCTCTGTGGGAATAACTCTGTAGGACTGGCTGTGTGGGACTAACTCTGTGGGACCAGCTCTGTGAACTGGCTATGTGGGACTAACTCTCTTGGACTGGCCCTGTAGGGCTGGAACTTAGGGCTGGCTGTCTGGGGCTGGTTCTGTAAAGTGCAACACACACCGCCGCCGTACACCACACGTCAAAACACCCGCCTCCATTATATTCTATGAACCAACCCACACTGGCGCCGGCCGACGCACCGCGCCGCTCTGTTTCAGCCCACTGCTCTATTTCCAGCGCGGCCATGGCGGCGCTGCGAGAAAAGCCTTTTATGTACGTCTTGTCTCGTAGGATCAACTCCGGTTGTTTCAAATTTTTAATAAGACGACTTTGTTAAGAAACTCACCCGTGAAATTCAAGTTGTTGTTGCCTCCTAGTTTTTCCTCTTCTTCTTCTGTTACTAGCAGTTGGCAACCGTTGGCAACTAGTGTAGGTACAGCCTCCTTGAGGGCTGGGGTGGGAAATACATGTTGACGGTGCCGCTGCGCGCCGCTGCCAGTGTGTGTTGGGGGGCGGCCCTTGACTGCCACAGCGCCGCGCCTGCGGCGGTGTGCATTGCACTTAAGTCTGGCACTGTGGGACTGGCTCTGTGGGGTTGGATTTGTGGGACTGGCTCTAAGGGCTGGCTGTGTGGAACTGGCTCTGTGGGTCTGGCACTGTGGGACTGGCTCTGTGGGGCTGGCTCTGCTGGGCTGGCTCTGTGGAACTGGCTCTGTGGGACTGGCTCTGTGGGAGTAACTTCAGGCTGACAGAAAGCTAAACACCACTGATGTTCTACCCTGACTCATCTGAAACTTTTTTTTTTTAAACACTGACAAATCAAAGCATGTTTCGGCTCGGACACAGGTGGTGCATCTGTGTCTCCTCTGCCACCTGTTAGGCCCGCAATGGAAACAGACCCAATAAGCCTGGCCTTACTCTCCTCCATCCAGGTCAATTATAAAAATACATGTAGGCTATAGGTCGGTACATATCACAAGGTTCAAGTTCAAGGAGTCTTTATCATCCCTGTGGGGAAATTTGTTGTACAGCCAGCAGTAATAGACAACAACAAACAATCAAGCAACAATCACTCAGACAACAATAAATAAGAAGAGACAGCAGAAAATGAAGAGCAGGTCAGTCACTTATTCAGGAGAGCAATAGCAGCAAAGGAATATTTTTATCTGTTAGTGCTGCATTTTGGCAGGATGTACCTACTCCCCGACAGAAGCAGCAGGAATTCACCAGCCAAGGGGTGGCTCTGGTCCCCAAGGATGGAACAGGCTTTGCTTAAAGTTCTGAGCTGGTAAAGGGCAGTGAGGTCATTCAGGTTAATACCGTACCAACAAATGAAGGAGAAGGTGAGGATGGATTCAATAAAATAAGAGTAAAACATCTGCATAAAAGTGCTGTCAACATTAAAATTCAGGTCAGCTTGTCATCTATATAAGTCCCAAGGTACTTGTAATTGTTGATCAGCTCCACTGCTTCATTCTCAATCATAACAGGGGAGACGACTGTGGGATTTTTTCGAAAATCAACCAACATCTCTTTAGTTTTTGCTACACTGATATGTAGGAAGGAAGAGCTGCACCAGACCAAGAATTCCTTCACTACAGGTCCGTGCTCCAGGTCGTCACTGCTCAGTAGGGACACAATGACAGAGGACGTCTGCAAATTTAACGATGTGTCGCCCCACATGTTGACTGGCATTCATTTGTATATGGTAGTATACCATATACAAGGTAGTCGTAGTCATTTGCATTCATCACAGATGTATAAATTAAGTATTCTAACCTCAGTTGGAGTTTGATTTCTTTCTTACCATACTGTGTTTCCAACATTCTTTGACGTTACTTTTCAGGCTGCCAAATAGATCCAGTTGGTTAAATTGGACCTGAGGACGTCAGTGTTTTTATTTCTAGCTCAGTGAAATTTCTCCTCTTGGCCGTATCACACCTCTCCATATCATAAACTCTGGGGGTGAGGCCTCCAAACCCAGAGAGGATATGTAAATGACTGTTTTCAGCTGCCACATTTATCTACACCCTGTAATTCATACACTGTGATGGGTGAGATATGAACGTTTCATGAATCACACACACGCACACCCTGTTGTAAGATGATCTGTACCCTTGGATCTGTCCTGGTTTGTCTGTTAGACTGATACATGAGGGCCAGCGTGTCCTTCGTCATTAGATCGTAATCCTATCTTTTGTGCAGTACACAGGTGTAAGATCCCCCTCCCCCCACTCACAGAGCAGATATTCCCCAGTGACCTCCAGACTTCTTCCCAGCCTCGATGAACAGTGACAGGCCGATGAGGTTGATGGTGGGAGCGATAGCCAGCGGGCCGATGTATTTCAGCACGAGGCCCACCAGGCCAGAAAAACCCAGGACGATCTGCAGCAGTGATGACACCAGGATGGCTCCCTGGATCTGTGGACAACCAGGCGAGAGGGACACAACTGAGAAAGAAACCTTTGCCATGTTTTTATACTCAGCTATGCATCATATCAGTGCTGTTTCTGGAGGCATCTTTAATCTTAAATATAACTTCTTTGCTTCTTCAATAGGTGACCTAGCTGCTTATTTCATGATTGTGAAAAAAAAAAATAATCTAGAGACTCTTGCTGCGTGTAATCACTGACTCTACACAACTAATGGCGTGACATCAGTTTTAAAACAAAAATTTGGAGTTTTATCTAAATCTCCAAGTTTTACCTCAAATTTTATGGTCTTTATTTTTATAGTATTCACTTACATTCCCTGGTTTTTGCATTAAACACAAATTCGGCATGTAGTTACCCAGGTTTTATGAGAAACTTGTCCTTTTGAACACAGTTTGTGAGTCTTGTTAACGTTTTCATTTTTTTTCTTTTTAGTTCTGTGTTTGAATTAACAGAGCCCTGAACAAACACTCATTAAAGATAATCTATTTCATTTTAAAGGCCTTATTATCATCATTTATTTCATAATCATGCAGATCTAAATGCTTGATAACAATAAAAAAAAAAGCGTTTCATGATTTTTCTTTTCTGTTAATAAACGTACGTCGTCTGTTCCATAAAGCAGTGACTGTGTTTTTGGCTTCAAGCTCCTTATGGAGCCTATAGATTCTAGATAATGGTGTATCATTATTTCATCGGCTTCTAAACAATTTCATTATAACTAGTAGGTACACATACATGTTGAAGAAAAAAGTCCGACAGTCGGATTTATGATTTTCAACCTGTTGCGTTGTTCACAATCTCCCTAAACTGTCATTAAGCCTGTGCAGCTGTATGTCTTCTCAGACAGTTTCAGATCTGAGAGCACATATGAAAGAGGTAAAACACATCCTGCTACAGAAACTAGCAGCACTACAACACTAAAATCAGTCTCTCCGACTGAAACCACATGAAGGCGTGGCAGCTGTAAAATCAGTCCTCGTTAGATGTCCTCCGTTTAAAACATACATCTGTAAAAAATGTGCACGTTGCCGCAGGGAAAGACATCTTGTGCAAACCCTGCTGACAAGGAGGAGATATATGAGTGTACAAAATACCCGAAATGCTGAAACTGATTCAGGTGAAATTCCAAATATCCAGTCATTCCGGATGTTCACATTTAAACCCGCTGAACCCAGTCCGACATTAAAAGAGCTCTGTTGTAGGAGAACGACACCTTCAATGATAAGACGGTGATTATATACTGTGTCATGACAATGAAAATAATAATTTACACTCATAATTACAGAAAATAACTTTTAACAGAACAGCGAGGCCCCTCACATCTACAAGTCAAGGACTGTTAACTGTCCCATGATCCTATGGGAGACTTTTTGGAGACAGGGCCTTCTCAGTAGCTGCTACAAGTCCCTGAAAACATAATAAATCTCTCGTCTCCTTTAAAAGATTTCTTGAGACCCACTTTTTTTTTTTTTTTTTTTTGCACAATCAGTGACATCTTTTAATCACTTCGCACCTGTTCTTAAAAGCCCTTTATTAATTTTAGCCCACTGCTTACTTTAAACATGTCTTATTTGATTATTAATATTGTCATTGTATTAAATTGTCTGTTCTTTAGTTTTTGTATTATTCTAATTACATGACTTTATTTGCCTCAGTGCAATCTTCAGTGGTGTTAGTTTCCAACAATGCTTATTTGTTTCATCCGGATACTCATGTTTATTAATGAGGTTCCTTTGTTTTTGTGTTTTTTAAAATTGCAAGATTTTATTTATGTAATTCTGCAATGTTTTAAATCCAGTTCAACACTGAGGCACTTTGTGACTTTGTTTTGAAAAGCGCTTTATAAAACAATGTTTTCATTATCATTATTATCATTATTATTTATTTACTTCCTGACCTACCCCAACAACAATTCTTGACAAAATTTAGATTCTCCATGGATACACAAAAATGTCTGTGTGTTTGTGTATATGTATTTAAGCATGTATTTTAATAATTACATCTGTGTTAATTATTTTTTGTCAGTTATGCTTGTTGTAAAACACTTTGGCAAAACTTGGTTTGATTTTAAAGCACTCTGAATAATTTCACCTTGAACTTGAGCCTGATTTACTCAAAAGTCTCCAAAGACGCAGAAGTCCTTGGATTATTTGATTTCATGGTCTGTTTTGGGGGATTGTTGTGGCCTGAAATGTCTGATTTCACAGCAGCTTTTCTAGAAAAGTGTGATGCATGTTGCAACGTTTATGGGCATCTCTGAAAAAAACTTGCAGGGCAAGTAAAAATTGGAAAAATAATTGTGATGCTGTCTGATACGGAGCTTATTATTATGTGCATTTAATGTTTCCTACAAAATTAGAATCTATTTTTCCTAAATTTGTAGAATGACTTAAAAGTGCCGAGCCAAACATTTTGTGTCATCTATTTTTTGAACATTTACCCGACTTTCTGTGTGCTTCTGCGTCTTTTCTCAGATACAGATCTGTTTTGTCCAAGTTTAATTAATTAACCCAAAGTTACACACACTTTTTTGGGTCTTGATTTTCCACAATTTTTCCTTGTATATCTGTTTTTGCAGAAAATACAAATTCCAGGTTGTACCTCTCCAAGTTTTAAATTGGAATTTTGTCATTTTCAACACAGTCTGTGGGTCTCGTTTCACCTGAATGTGACCCAAAATGTCAACATGACCCTAAATGTCAGTGTCACACCCAAATTTTGGTTTACACAAACACGTCACATTTGAACACAAGTTTAGGGTATTGTTTGTCTTTGAGGTCTTTGCCTCAAATGTCCAGTTTTTGCATCATGTTTTACTTTTGATTTTTGTTTTAGGTTTTTACTCACCCCACCAGGTGTACAGGTGTGAAACTTCACCTACAGTTTTCTTTAAGAAGCCGTGCCCTTTTTTTTTTTTTTTTTAAAGAGTTTGTGAGTCTTCTTTTGCCTAAATGTTCCAGTTTTAAACCACACTTTTACAAATTGGTTTTCAGCAGTTTGTTTCACCTCAGTGTGTTTTTTTTAACACAGGTTTCTGCATTTTAACACACTTGCCGTTTTACCTGTTTTGTCAGGTTTTTACTTGCATCACTGGGTTTTTTATCCAAATTCTGACATTCAAAATTGTTTTCCATTTCAACTGAAAAATACACACCTGCAATGGAATAATAGGATGATTCTGATTTGGTACAAATGTTTATGAAAAGAGAACAATAAGGAACATTTACTGTAATCATGTTTTGACTTCTGTACATGCTGAGTTTGGTAAGTAAATCTGTTACACTTGTACACTTTGTGTGAGCCGTGTGTGAGCACTCATGTAGAGATCAAAAGGATGTTCAGGATGTTATGAAACATATGAATGTTTCTATCTGCATACAAATATTAAGGTGTGACAAAATGATACAGGGTCTTCATTGTTCCCCTGAAATCCATTACTGCTGCTAAGGTGACCAATGAGATTCCCTCTGGGATCACATCAGGTACTTCTGGCTCAAGTGAATATTTCACATACCTCACGCATCCGTGACATCCAGACCTCATCAGAATTTTCCACATGCAGCGAGCTGGTGCTGTTCTGCAGCTGCACCGACAGCATCATGGGTGCTTTTTGGGCTGGGCACTGCCATTTGGGCAGAGCGAGAATGGCCAGGGTCGGAGTGATGAAACTGAAAGTCCCACCCTGGAGGATTGGTAACCTGCAAGTCAGAGGGGTGAAGGATTAAAGGTCAGAGTTCATCGGACCAAACGGTGTCAGGTCTCTGTGGACTGAGATGACCTGGATTTGTTCAAAGCAAGCTTAAAGGGAGAGCGGAGAATTTTAATGAGCAAGTTGCTTTTCTCACAGAGCTGGTGTCTGGTCAACTCATGATGTGTCTTTAAATAGAGAAGCTAAGATTTACTTTGAACAGTTCACTTGGGAGGTAAATAACGGCACGTAAAAGTTTGGGCACCTCTGGTCATTAATAGTGAATAGTTTAGTGAGTAGAAGATGAATGGATCTACAAAAGGCATGAAGATAAAGATGACACATTTCTTCAACATTTTAGGCAAGATGACTTTTTAATTTCAATCTTTTACAGTTTCAAAATAACAAAAAATGACAACAGCCTGAAGCAAAAGTTTGGGCATCCTGCATGGTCAGTGCTCAGTAGCGCCCCCTTTAGCAGCTATCACAGCTTTAAACACTTTTTGTATCCAGCTCAGAGTCTTTCAGTTCTTGTTTGGAGGATTTCTTCTAGCTCTGTGAGATGCTTGGGCCGTCCTCATGCTTTGCTCTTTGAGCTCTATCCACAGATGTGTAATGATGGTTAGGTCGGGGGACTGTGAGGGCCACGGCAAAACCTTCAGCTGGCTCCTCTTCAGGTCATCCATTGTGGATTTGGAAGTGTGTTACGGATCATTGTCCACTCTTCATCTTCAGCTTTTTTACAGATGCTGTGATGTCTGTAATTTAACTGAATCCATTATTTCCTCTACCTGTGAAATGTTCCCCATGCCACTGGCTGCAACACAAGCCCAAAGCATCATCCATCCACCCCCGTGTTTAACAGTTGGACAGGTGCCCCTGTTTTCTCCAAACATACTTTTGCTCATTGTGTCCAGAAAGTTCTATTTTAACTTCATCAGTCCACAGGGCTTGTTTCCAAAAAAGCATCAGGCTTGTTTCGATGTTCCTTTGCAAACTTGTGATGCTGGATTTAGTGGTGAGGACACAGGAAAGGTTTTCTTCTGATGACTCTTCCACGAAGGTCATACCTGTCCAGGTGTGTCTGCACAGTAGAACAGTGCACCACCACTTTTCCTTTCTAACAATCCTACGAGCAGCTCTCTCAGGAAGTTTTCTTGGTCTTCCAGACCTCAACTTGATATGACCTCCACAGTTCCTGTTAACTGCCATCCTCCCAGATGCAGAGAAGCTAGTCCATGCCTTTACCTCCTCGAGACTGGACTACTGCAACGGACTCTTCATCGGAATTGCTGGCAAGAACATCCAGAAGCTGCAGTACATCCAGAACAGCACTGTCAGGGTCCTGATGAGAGTCCGTAAACATGAGCACCTAACCCCCATTCTACACTCACTGCACTGGCTCCCCGTCTCATTTCAGATCAATTACAAAATCCTGCTGCTCACCCCCAAATGCATCAATGCACACGCAATAGCCTACCTACAAGAACTAATCATTCCACAATCCTCCACCCGTACCCTCAGATCTGCAGGCAGCCTACTCCTCCGAGTCCCCAGCACCAAGCTCTGCACCATGGGAGACCGAGCCTTTTGCTCGGCCGCACCACGTTTGTGGAACAGCCTCCCTCTCCAGCTGAGGGCTGTACAGAGCCTGGACTCTTTTAAAGCAGGCCTGAAAACCTTTTTATTCAAAAGGCCTTTGACTGTTAATTTGAACTAATTATAGTGTTTTTTCATATGTTTTTATATTATGCTTTTAACCTGTAGCACTCTGAGATCCAAGGATGAAAAGTGCATTACAAATAAAATGTATTATTATTATTATTATTATTGTTATTATTATTTCTGAATTACATGGCCAACTGAGGAAACGGCTCCCTGAAAACACTTTGCTATCTTCTTCTAGTCTTCATCAGGTCTTTTAGTTTTTTAGAGTGCTAGGCAGCTGTTTGGAGGAGCCCATGGCTGCTGATTGTTGGGACAAGGTTTCAGGAGTCAGAGTATTTATAAATCTTTGAAATCTGCATCACCTGTCCTTTCCTAACGATGACTGTGAACAAGCTCATTAAAGTCTGAGACCCTGGGAGAAGTCGTCTGACAGCTCAAATGTCTTGAGGTGCCCAAACGTTTGCAGGGTGCTCATTTCTGTTTTGTTCACTCTAAAATTGTTCAAAACAAAAATAAAACACTGATCTTGCTTAAAATGTTGAAAAGCATGTTTCATGTTTAACTTTGTGCCTTCTGGAGATCAGGAACGAAACTCTGTCATTTTTAAACTTTTTTGGCACATGTGCAGGCGTCACCTTTTCTCCATAACCACTGACCAACAGGCATATTTCTAACTTGAGAATAAAACAGAACGGCGGCACTCATAGTACAATTACCTTATTTGGAATGGGCAAAAACATGCAGACAGGGACACGTCTCAGCTAAAGAGCCATCATCAGTGTGACAAAACAATAGTGAATGGTGAATGACAAACACACAGGTGACGTTCAAACCACAATCAGGATAGAAAACAAGATTAAGTGATAAGATTCATCTGTGTATGAATGACCGGTGAAATATTAGCCTCCTACAAATAGTGAGAAAAAATATTCATAATAAAATAAAATATTTATGACCCTTACTGGGGAAACACTTAGAAATTAGGCTTGAACACTATCAATAATCCTTTATGAAAAGCAGTGTTTCCCCTACCATTATATTAGGGGAGCACCTTTCTGTTTCTACATGGTCGCGCCTTTACAAACCTCCTCTGCTCTCTGTATCGCGCACAGCAGAGTCCCCCCACACTCAATGTACAGTTCAAATAATTGTTTGGTCGTTATATTGACTGCTGTCATTAAAAGAGACACATGAACACCGTGATTCCTTTAAGTATTTGTGTCGTGTCCGTCCCCAAATTGCTCCCAATGGCTGATCCACCAGTGTATGAGTGTGTGAGACTAGAAAAGCGTTACACAAGTGCAGGTCCATTTACCAGCTCCATAATCCACCTGCTGAACATTTTCTCAGCATTTATTGTATTAATCCTCTCCTCTGTGTGGTAAAAAATTTTCTGCTTTATATTCTCTCATGTTTGCAGTTTTTATTTCTCGTCAGATTTGCTTTTTAAGATAACAAGCCCACATCTTTTATTTCAACAACTACCTGCTGCTAAGGACTAAATGTAACATTCAGCTGAACCTTTGCAGCAAGTTGTTTCAAACTGAAATTCAAACCTGTTTTCACAGTAACTGTGAAATAAATAATGTGGACAGTGTGTGTATATTCATTTATTTTTTGTGTCGCAGCGTTTGTAATTCTTTACGTACGTGTTTGTGTTTTTATCCTCACATTCCTGTGTTTGACAAAGCCCTTCATACCACAGTTTTAAACAGTGCAATAGAAAGAGAGATTAACTTACTTATTATTCAATGTCAAAGTGTTTGTTGGAATCCCAACTTTGTCCCTTTAAGCTTTTGCCAAACTGTGTAGGTGGAAACCTCAAACAAAAGCATTAGCTGTTTGCTCAGGCTCAGTGTTACAGCAGTGGGAGCAGGAGCCCTGTACTGTATTGTACTGCTCTGTGTGTGGGAGGCAGCTGCACTTCGGTAAATCACACAGATTGATGCATCGGGTTCAGAAGGATTTTCCTATCAAAGTGCCAAACAGCTCCCAGGATTTCACATCTCTGTTATGAAATGAAAGCCACAAATTAAGCCGCGTGAAACTTTGGAGATCATGAGGCTTTAAGGAAAACTATTTCAGAACTTGCCCTGAAGGGTAAATCTCATTTCCACTGTTAGTGTCACGTAGAGCTCAGCAGAGGGCTGGCTCATCGTTTAACTCCACAAGAACCACCACAGGGGCCTCCGCATGAGCTGAGCTGTAACCTCAGGCTGTAGCAAATGAAGCTCAGGGGACTCATTACGGAAATGTTCGAAGTCTGAACTCCGATCTTATCTCAGGTTAGGATGACAGTCAGGAGTTTTGGTGTATAGAAACATGTTCGCTAAATGCAGTTACAGAGCATCGGCTGATGCTGATGATGTGCCCATATTATCCTGCATCCCTACTTTTAGATTTTCAGGACTCCACCACTGCATATGTTTAGGGATTGTTTCTGTGACAGGACCACAGTATTTTTCCTACATTTACTGTAAACCTAAGTAAAGATACAGGGTTCCTACAGCTGTAGGCAAGTTAGATTGAAGACTTTTTTAACACCACACACAATTAATTTTTGAGCCATTTTACAATATTGGTACCCTGGAAATCCAGAGTTCTCGAGAGAGCACAATTTGAATTTGCTCAGCAAGTCACTCTGGCAATCAGTAATGATGCTCATTACCCATGCCCTTGTAGCTGAGCTGCACCATCACGACGACGAAGTCCAGAATCAGTCAGTAACATTAAACATTGCAAGATGGCTACGGATGAACACCAGTTGTTTGAAACGGCTTTGGCCGCTACAGTGACCGAGTTAGACTTGGCTTTTTCTCTAAAAGAGGAACAGAAGACGGCGCTCGAATCTTTCCTTTGCAAGAAGGACGTTTTTGCTGTTTTGCCGACCGGATACGGCAAGAGTCTAATCTAACAGTTAGCTGCGCTGGTAGCTAAGCTCTGGATATGTCACCCCGTGTATTGTTCTGATTGGTCGTAGTGTTATCCAATTGCGTGCAGTGATGTTTTCAAATGCATGCTTGGTGCCGCCCCTCGAGTTGGGCCATTTGCATTACTCATAGCCAGACCCTAAATCTTTCTAGATTTGGGTCTGGATTTCCAGGCTACAATATTGGAAAATTGAAGGAAGAAAAAAAAAAAACATAAACTAACATTTTGTAATTATAGTTACATTTATTGTAACATAAAACATAAAGATTTGGGCCTGTGAAACAGTTAGAAGGTGAGAACTGATAGTATGTGCATTTATTGGCAAGTTCATTGCTGCAGTTTTTATGTTTCTCACTCTGCATGTGGGATTCAACTGCCTTTATTCTCATCATGACACATTTAAGAAAAGGGATTGAGTATATCTATGAATTTTTTTGCGACCTTCCAATGCAATGTCAGAAAGCCAGGGCAGAGGTGTGTGTGTGTGTGTGTGTGAAAAGGGAAATATAAGGGAGTTCCTGTCATCTTGGGAACATTCTTCACATTCTTAATTCTCTTGGGGCATTCCCCAAGAGAACTGTGCTTGCTATAAATCTTAAACGTGACCGACAGCGGGACTTAAAATGTGAACACACACACACAACAATAACTACCATTCCACTGAGGGGTAGAGTAGCTAAGAAGTTCACACACAACCACAAGTTGTCAAATCTCACATGTGCGTGAGAGAAACAGAGTCGAAACTGAGAAAAAGAAAGTGTTGAAATTTCTAAAGAATGAGTCAGTGCGGTCTGGCGCCTCCCGTTTCACCGGAGCTGTGAGACATTAAGAGGGGGTTACCTGGTACCGACAGCCGTTTGCAGCAGCGTACTTATTCCCGACACAAAGAATATGGTGGAGATGAGTTGGCTTTTTGCGACGTTGTTGTCCTTTATGCAGAGGGGCTCTGCCAGGATCAGCGGGATTGCGATGATGCCTCCGAATGCGAGGATGTAATGCTGTGGAGGCAAACGAAAAAGGATCAGTTTGGGGACCCTTTAAGATGTATAAAAAGCTTTTCCCTTTTACAGAAAATGAACCCTGTTTTTTCTGATTCACTCTGAGTTTAGCTGCTCTTCATTTTAATATGTAGACAGTAGTGTTGTCACGATACCAAAATCTTTGTTTCGGTACCAATACCAATATGAATTTCGATACTTTTCGATACTCTTCGGAACTTTTCCTAAGGAAAAGTCCTTTTGGATACAAACCTTTAGAACAATAAATAGTAG